TATTTTCATCTTTTTCATCTCACCTTTTTTCCGGCGAATACCCCTTATTAGGCTTGTTTTCGGTTGATTGGCACATTGGAAATTCACCCTTCCACCACCACTGGAAACCCCCTTCACCCCTTCTTCTAAACCCACCATTCAATCGGCTTTCCCCACTCCCCGTTTGTCATCCACCGGTCGTTTTTGGACTGCCCACCACCTGTTCGTAAAATTCCCCAGCCAACCTGCCCATCTCCGACCACCAAAATGCAACCTATCAGTACCAAACGAGTCATCGGATGCTCCTCTTCATAACCTCCATCAGTTTGGCCCGAGCTTGTCCATCGTTTTTGCCGACGACTCCCACTTGGGTTTGTGCGACTTTCAAGGTTGGGTTGTTTTGATTGGAACTATTGAGGACTTGATTGGGGCTAATTGCTTGTTTGTTTGGAGTCGGGCTTGTTGGTATTCTGTTGTTGTTTTGTACTTTTGTTTTTCGGCCGAATCCTATCGCCGGCAGTCGTTTTCCCCTGGGTTTTGCAAAACGCCCACCATGTGTTCGTAAAAAGGCCCCAGAGAGCCTTCTGCGCGCGTTTAGCGCCGGAATTTGAAAATTTTTTCTTCTCAGTGTTTTATTCTTCGATGACTGATTGATAATACACATTTCGTGATGTGTGATTAAATTGTTTAATGGATTATTGATTTGTGTTCGAAATTTGTGGTGGTTTGTGGCGGTGTTGATGGTTGTATTTGGTGGTTCTAGTGGTGGGTTTGGAGTTGGTGCAGGTCCAGGCGGCAGAATCGATTCATGGGATTTGGATTCAAAGAGGGAGGGTATTTTTGTCTTTACATTCGCTGTCAATCTCACCTAACAGAATTTACTAACAGACATTATCGGAAGGTAGGTAATTGTCGTTTTGAAACTTTTTGGATGCTAAATTGTCGTTGTAGCAAACTGGGAGCATGTCGTTCGCCCTTATAAATGTCCACAAATTGTAGTTAGTCATATTCAAGGGTTGAGACCTATCATGTGCGAGCAAGTACATTAATCTCTACTTGTACATATACTTTCTGGCAGTAAATAGCAAAACCCTAAACCTAACAGCGCTAGTGATCGGAGGGGTCAATGAGTCAAATCAGAGGGGTTTCGAACGATGGACTATAAGGAAGGTGATGGAGGTGATTAGGTGGTTCAATACCGTCGGAAACAACCCAGATCGGGCAAAAACCGAGAGGGTGCATAGCGGCCGAGGGTGTTATTGAAGTAATCTAAAAATAGGATGGTTAATTATAATTCTACTAATTTAGGGGTTAATAAGTAATTTATTAATTTACTTGTTATGGGTATTATGGTAATTGCATTACCTGTAACTTAAAAAATGTTAACCGTGTTATTTTAAAGGTAGAAATCTGGAATAAATATAACCAAGGATATTAATTTAGGATTTCACCAAACTTCCGGTGGGAATACACTTGTTTACTCTATATATTGACGATGAATTTCAATCCACATCAATCTTCTATCTCAATTTTCACGCCGATATGATGATATTGGATATAGAACTGTGCAACCGTCATGGGCTGGACATTTGTTAATTACTCAAAATACTAGCATCCCACCTTGAAAAATCCAAGATTCAATCATTTTTTTAATTTAATATGGGATTGTATCACAACGAATAAATAATGTCGACTTGGACATATACAGTAACAAAATTATCGAGCCTCCAAAAGTGAGATACTGATTTCATTCTTCGACATTAATCCATAATCGCTTGATGAAAGGCCTGGCTCAAGTAAATTCCTATCCATCAAGAAACCAGGTTGTTTTGGCTGGGGCAATATACTATCACTACCAAGCATCACCACTACAGTTGACATGGTTGGCCTGTCCACCGGATACTGTTGCACACATAAGAGACTAATGTGGATGCATCTTATTACTTCTGAAATATTGCATGATTCTCCCAACACTGAATCAATCAGTTCCATTGGCTTGCCTTCATTCCATAGTTTCCATGCCTAAACCATATAANACATTTCCGATAGCCATCTCTGTCTTTCTTGAAGTTAAACAGTTTCTTGAAGTAATCCTTGAACGCTAAGTTCAGGGCCTGGGTGGGGAAGTATCTGCTAACATTAGCTGTGTTTCCTCTCCAAAGAGCAATGACACCTTCATCCTTCATAGTTCTGGCAAAGCAATCAGAAATTCCCTCGTATGCATGGTTCAGATAGTCTACCAGCCTTAATCATTTTATCCTGACTCTGAATCAAATGCTTAACACGCTCAATTGGAGCAGTTGCGGTCTTGGAAACCTCCATTAACATAACCAGTCACATTATAATTACGGGTGTGTAAATTGAGGGACAGCTTGGAAATGAAGTAGGACTGTTCTTGAATTTTCTGAAATACCGATGGATGGTGTGATCCATCTGCCATGCTGGATAAGCTTATGAATGAGGGGAAAGTCCTACCTCAGATAGGTTGGTTTGGTCGGTAGTATGGTATCCTTTATTCATACTGATGTATAGAGTTACTACTTCTTTTGATTTGCTGAGAAGACCTGTTGCATGGAATTTGGGTTTCTCTGCCCTTTGGATTCCTTGGCTGCTTTTATTTCGAATTTTTTTGTTTGGTAACTTTGGAGCTGTTTATCTTGCTTATCAGACTTTGGTTTTTGACTGCATTTCTTCATTCCATTTGTGTATGCTAACAATAATTTGAAGTGGATTACTCTCATTTAATTGTAAACTGTCATCTACTGGTAGAGTAACAGGATTAGATTTAGCCCTTTAAAATGGACCTTCCAATGAATGAAGGCAAGAATATGTCAGGAGTGGAAGAATAATATAGGAAGTTGCAGTTTTAAAAAAGTGCCAGGCAGGTTGAATTGGCAATGAATATTAGAATTTCTCTGGCAAATGAAATACGACCAAAAAAAAAAAAATTTCTATCCAAGCCCATTTTGTCATTTAGAAGTTAGTATTTGTTGTGCGTTTGTTAGGAGATCAACCAAAAACTCAAGAGAGCTTACCAATGGAGGAAAGTTAAATATTCCATTTCAGTGTATGTTTTCCTACTATATAGGGGAGAAAAACAAGCATATATACAGAGATTTTGTAACAAACTTGTAACAAATTAACAAACCCAACCTCTCATATTGTGCCAGCTGGTAGACGTGCTAAAATGAATGAAAGAATAACAAAAAGTATATACAACAACTAAAATGTAAAAAATTGATTACAAAACTTGGCCTGTATCTATTAACATTCCTCCCAAGATGGAGAATAGAAATTTACTATTCCTACCCCGCAAGATGGAAAATAGAAATTTACTATTCTTATCTTGGATAAGTGTGCTTGAAGAAGGTAGGATGGAAAAGTCTTGGTTAATGCATCAGCCAGCTGTGTTTGAGAGGAAACAAGAGCTGTTGTGAGACTTCCTTCTTGAATTTTGTTGCATATCAAGTGACAATCAAGCTCTATACGCTTAGTTCGCTCATGAAGTACCAAATTGGCAGCTATCTGAAGGGCTGCCAGGTTGTCACAGTAGAGAATGGCAGCTTGCGAATGAGAAATGTCAAGGTCATGGAGAAGGTATCGAAGCCAAGTAAGTTTTGAACAAGTAGTGGCCATAGAGCGATACTCGGCTTCAGCAGATGATCTGGAAACAACTGTTTGCTTCTTAGACTTCCAAGAAATAAGTGATTGACCCAAGAAAACACAATATCCTGTTGTAGATAGGCAGGAATCCGGGCAAGAGGCCTAATTTGAATCACAAAAAGCTGTAAGTTGAAGCTGAGATGAGGATGGTAGCAAAAGACCTTGAGCATGCAGGTGCAGTTTTAATATACCGTAAGATATGGTAGGCTGTTGCCAGGTGGGAGGAAGAAGGTTGATCCATAAATTGGCTTAATAATTGGACAGCAAAGCAAATATCTGGGCGGGTTATTGTGAGGTACATAACCTACCAATTAACCTTCGAAAGATACTTGGATCAGAAAGTGCAGTCCCTTCAGATTTGCTGATTTTGAAGTGTTGATCCATAGGAAGTCTAAGGGGGTTTGCATCCAAGCATACCCGAATCTGCCAAAACGTCTAAGGCATATTTCCTTTGACGTATATGAATACCTTTGGAAGATCTAGCAATTTCCAGGCCCAAGAAATAACGGAGACAGCCAGGATCTTTAATCTTGAATTTGCTATTCAAAAAATTCCGTAGAGAAGCAATGGAGTCATTGGAATTGCTAGCAACTAGAAAATCATCAGCATAAATGAGCAAAGCAGTAAAATTATCCCCTTCTTGCTTGGTGAATAAGCTATAATCAGACTTTGATTGGATGAAGCCGAAAGCAATAAGAGAAGAGGTGAGTTTAAAGTTCCATTGTCTTGAAGCTTGCTTTACGCCATAAAGGCTTTTAAGCAATTTGCAAACTTGAGTTGGTTTACCTTTGGTGTAACCCAGGGGTTTCTTCATGTAAATCACCATTAAGAAATGCATTATTTACATCAAATTGATGTAAATACCATCCTTTGATGGTAGCAACACTAAGAAGGCATCTAACAGTGACCAGTTTGGCAACGAGTGAGAAAGTTTCAGTATAATCTATGCCTTCTTATTGGGTGTAGCCTTTAACTACAAGTCTAGCCTTAAGTCTTTCAACAGAACCATCAAACTTAAATTTAATGCGATAGACATACTTACAATTGATTGCTTCTTTTCCTTTAGGCAAATCAGTGATGGTCTAAGTATGGTTGTTTTCCAAAGCTTCAATTTCAGCATCCATAGCTTTGCACCACTCAGGATCTTTAATTGCTTGTTTATATGAGGTGGGCTCAGTTTAAATGGAAATGGATGATGAAAATGCTTGAAAAGAGGAATTATAATGCTTGTAAGATAAGCAGTCAGAGAGAAAAAATATTTACCATTTAATTGAGGAGTTGTAGTGGAAGCTGATTGCTGAGGTGAGGCAAGCCTAACTTGTTTGCAGTGGAAGTCCTTCAGATATTGAGGAGTAGTCATGTTCTGGGTAGACCTGCGAAGTGTAGAGGCAGCAGGAAGAGGAATGATGGAATTAGACGGTGGTGAAGTGGGAGAAGGAGAGGATGTATTAGGACAATCAGCGGAAACAGCAAGAGGGTTAAGGGTTGAAGGAGAAGGAGATATGGGATTTAGAAAATTAGAAGGAGGTGCAAACGGAAGAGAGAAAATAGGGAGAGATGGGGCTGTGGAAGAAGGAGAGAGAGGTGTTTGAAAAGGAAAAAAAATTCATGAAAAATAACATCCCTTGAAATGAAAATGGTATTAGTTTTGAGATCAAAAAGCTTGTAGCCTTTAGTTCCAAAAGGGTATGCACATGCACGACCTCTAGGGTCAAATTTTGTTCTGTTATAAGCAAGTGTGGCGGCAAAGCAAAGGGAACCAAATATTCTCATGTGAGCATACTCGGGTTTTTTTTTATTAAAAAGGAGTTCATAAGGTGTTTTGTTGTTGAGAAGTGATGATGGAAGCCTATTGATGATATGTGTGGCTGTAAGGATGGATTCATTCCAGTAAGTTAAGGGAAGACCCGCTTGAAAAAGAAGGGCATGGGCCACATTTAGTAAGTGTTGGTGCTTCCTCTCAACAATGCCAATTTGTTGAGGGGTTGCAACACAACTTTTATGATGGATAATGCCTTTTTGATTAAAAAAATTCATGCATGTTAAATTCAGCACCATTATCACTTCTCAGAATTTTAATTTTCACTTGGAATTGTGTCTCAACAAGATTGTAAAAGGTTGTAATGCATTGTCTAGTTTCGGATTTGGCAGCAAGCAAGTAAATCCAGGTAGTTCTAGAAAAGTCATCAATAATGGTTAAGAAGTGCTTTGAGCCATCATGTGCAATTGTGGAGCAAGGACCCCATAGGTCACAATGAATGAGCTCAAAGATTCTTGATGAAGAATGTGAACTGTTAGGAAAAGATAAACGATGAACCTTTGCTAATGGGCAAATTTTGCAAGACTTTTCATTAATAGATGAAACTCCCTTGTGTACAAGAGGATCTGAAATTAATTGTAATCTAGGAAATGATAAATGGCCTAGGCGACAATGCCATAGATTAGTATTTGAAACAGAGTTTGTAAGGGAAGAAAAGCAAGAAAACTTGGTATGGTTGTTGTATAAGTGTGCCGAGAGAAAAGTAAACAAAGCTGAAGGAAGAGCTTCCTTGTAAATGAAATGGTACAAGCCATGCTTGAGCTCACCCTTCCTAATCGTTATCCATGAATGCAAGTCCTGAATAAAACAGTGAGTGGAAAAGAAGAGCAAACAACAATTAAGAGTAGAGGTTAGTTTATTTGCTGAAATAAGGTTGAAAGAAAATGATGGCACGCAGAGGACATCATGCAAAATGATGGAATTAGTTAAGTGAATTGTTCCAATGTGTGTGATAGGGGCGGAATGACCATTAGGTAGTTTCACAAAATAAGAAACAGTAGATGTAATAGTGGTGAAAAATGTGGTGCTACAGACTATATGGTCTGTAGCGATTATTTCAAGGATCCAAGCATAGATGATGTATGTGGTGAGTAATGTGTGTGAGTAGATAAAGAGGTGGAAGTACCACACATTTGGGAAGATGATACTGGGTGAAGGGAGGGTTGAGGTGGGTTGCTGGAGTGGACAGCAAAAGCCGCAATGGGTAAATCCTGAGGTCTGAGCAAGGTCATCAGTTGCTGATATTGTTGCTTGGTGAAACCAAACTTGGCATCATTGTTGTCTTTAGAGTCATTGGCAAATGAAAAGGATGTCTAATTTGCGAGGAAACCAGATTGCAGCAGCTGCTGCTTGGTATGATATTTATGGCCATGTGGATATCCATTGAGTTTGTAGCATTTCTCAATGGTATGACCAGTCATGTTGCAATGTAAGCAAAGAGGAGGCTTAGCATTGCCAGCTTTGAAACAAGTGTCGAAAGTGTGACCAGTTATTTTACAGTCGCTGCAATAAGGGCGGTCCTTTTTGGGAGGGTGGTTTGGTTTAGATGAGTGTTTGGAAGGGGTGTAGGGTTGTTGGATTGCCATGGCCATAGTTTCGGGGGATGGAGTGGGGGAGGTCATTTGATGGTGTCTTTCTTGCTGTTGGATGAGGGAAAACACTTTGGAGACAGGTGGGATGGGATCCAAAATCATAATCTGGTCTAGGATGGAGGTGTCAGAGTCATTGAGACCCATAAAAAATTGCAGCACACAATCTCTTTGATATCGATCCAATAAGGTTTTCATAGTACCACAATTACAAGAAGGTATGGGATCATACATAGAAAGTTCATCCCATATAGCTTTTAACTTGCCATAGTAAATGCTTACCAGATCATGTTCTTGAAGCAGAGTAGCCAATGCCTTCTTGAGTTAGTAAATACGGTGACCATTTTGGTGCCAAAAACGTTCTTGAAGATCCGACTAGATTTCCTGAGCATCATCAACAAAGAGAACACTGGATTGGAGAGAATAGCTGATAAAGTTTTAGAGCCAAGAAGTGACCATGTTGTTATAGCACTCCCAAAACTCAAGCAATGGATCGTTGGGTTTAGATGGTTTGGTGATGGATCCGGTGATAAAGCCTAGTTTATTTTTCGTGCAGAGTGCACGACGCATTGAGCAAGACCAGGTGGCATAGTTGTCGGTGGTGAGGAGATTGGCAACAAGGGTAAGGGCTGGGCTGTCACCATGGTCAAGCCGATAGGGGTTCGCCTGATCAAGGAGATTAAGGTATGGAGATGGGGTTTTTGATTCTAAGTCAGAGTGAGAATCGAAAGAATCGGAATCAGAGGTTGCCATTGAAGATGCTCTCAAAGGCTCTGATACCATGTTAGGAGATCAACCAAAAACTCAAAGAGCTTACCAATGGAGGAAAGTTGAATATTCCATTTCAGTGTATATTTTCCTACTATACAAGGGAGAAAAACGAGCATATATACAGAGACTCTGTAACAAACTTGTAACAAATTAACAAACCCAACCTATCATATTGTGCCAGCTGGCAGATATGTGCTAAAATGAATGAAAGAATAACAAAAAGTATATACAACAATTAAAATGTAAAAAATTGATTACAAAACTTGGCCTTTATTTGTTAATAGCATTTCCCAATTGGTGGACTATTATGGTATATCTATGCATGTTGGGCTCCCTCCTCCCTAAGAGTTAGCTTTTGGAAATGGGTTCTACCCAATTTTGAGCTTCAACCACAAGTAGTAAGCCAATTCCAGAAAAGGTCCTTCAAATGACAATGGAGACATGTGATCGAGCGCTTACTCTCGACTCTCGATTCAACTGAAAACGGTAATAGTTACAGTAAGGGTTTTTCTAGAAACCCTAGTTTTTAGCAAAAATCACTTAAGTGAAAGGCTAAACTTGCATTTATATTAATCTATACTTACAAAAGTGCATTGCTTCTCCTGGCTAAATGCATGTGAATTAACATGTCTGCCGAAGCTTGTTACTTGTACTTGTGGGGGAAAAATCCAAAAGCTTATAGAAAAAAAAATCAGTGTGATTTTAATAATACCTAAATTTTATACTCACAAGCAGCTGCATTATGTAGTTAACATTCTCCTCACCTGATGTTGGCAGATATGTATCTTACAATAATCAATCCAACAACCTTCCTTTACGGATTCAAGAACAAAATTTACAACTGTACGTCCTTCATTTTTTTTTAAACATATAAGTTATTTAACATCTTTGCCATACGTTTCACATTTTCTTAGATAATTTTTCACCTTTCTGGTATAGTATTTACACAATGATGAATCTAACATTCAGAATGTTGTTAATGCAATGTGCAGTAACTTAGTGGCCAACAACTTCAACCTAGAAAGTTCTAATTATAGTAGGTAATTTTCTTGTTTTGTGTTTTGTTACAATGCTTCAGACTCTCTATAACAATATAGAAAATGAATAATATGGATAACTTATGGAAATGGGTTCTTTAGTTGCTAGTTCCCGCTATCTAACATGATTTCTATGTTCCTCCCCTTCCTTCAATTTTCTACCGTATGGGCTGAACTATCACCAAAGAAATTTTCCTTGCAATCGAGGTTCTGGAATCTATAAGTACAACTTCTCCATTCTGTGGTATCGAGAGTTTAGGGTTAAAATTTCAGTAGAGTAATGCCTATTTTAACACCCGTCCCAAATTTAAATATTCCGTTTACAGACACTTCTAATTGCCTTCATCAACCTACAACATACACAACAAACATGTGATCTCCATCCACGCCAATATTTATTAAATTGGCTTATATATTTTCATAATATATCTATGCTCATGGCTTTGGCTTTGAATTGGGTCCAACTAAGTAGATATTATCCTCTAGATTTAATCATTGGATGTAGGCTTGCATGCGTTTGATTTCAGGCTTCACACAACTATCAAACACCCAAAATGCATCTACTTACTTATGAGGTCCTAAGCCTTATAAATTGAATTCTAAACTCATTTGCTAGCAATGTGGGATGTAACAAACTCTTTACCTTATGGATCTCACATCCTCGTGAGGTCGTCACACTGCATTGTCGAGTCACGAACCGACTTTGATATCAATTGTCAATCCTAAATCCAACCAATTAAATATTGTCCAATTCTAATAAATTCTTGTGTGACTCTCTATTTTAACCCAACCCAATTTTTCTACTATTTCTCTTTTCCTTTCCGTGTCCTCATTCTCTTCTTTTCCTTATTTTCTTCTCACCCGTAGCTAATTCTTTGTAAGAACGAGAGAAAGCTTATCTTCTTTTCCTTTCCGGTCTTTCTATTTGGCTAAGATATAAGACACCGAGAGTTTTCATTTTTCTTTGCAATTAAACACCTCCTATATATTACCTATCTTCATTATTTCCTAAGTCACCCTCACTCAAATTTTTAATTCACTCATAACAAAGATATATTATTTATTAATATACCCTTCTAATACCCTTTTCCTCACTGTTGAAAATGAAAAATGATTAAGATAACCTTTCCCCTTGTGGTCAGATAGCGAACTCTTTAGCTACTACGTTTAGCTATAACTAGAGGATCTTGTGTTCGAGTCACAAACTCGCACGAGATGTACCTACTACATTTGTGCAATTACCTTGGTCCATTGGGCTTGTAGGGTGTTTCGTGGCCCTGAGGATTAGGCAGGCTCCAATGTGGGCCTGGATTCCTTAGATACCTAAAAAAATTGATTAAGATAAAATATATAATCACAATTGGTTAAATAAAAGTAAAATAATAACTGGCTAGATATTATAAATCAAACTTTTAGACATACATATTCTTAATGTTTTACCTTGATAAGAGGTTACATTGGCATGCAGATTCAAGCTTTGCAATTAATTGTGCCGGTCAAACAATTACATCTCACGATATTATGTATGAGAGTGACAATGAGCCTCTTGGTCCAACTACATACTATTTGACAGACACAAGTAGATGGGGAGTTAGTAATGTTGGATACTTTAAGAAACGTAATGCATAGTATACAATTAATTCTCCATCTATATTCACAAATACTCAAGAGTGGATACTTTTCGAAAGAGCTTGAAGCCTCGAATCTCTGCTTCATCTTTAAGATACCATGGTTTAGGCCCTCAAAATGGAAAGCACATTATGACTCTGCAGATTGCAGAATTAGATAATTTCGATACTATTGGATGGAAAAATTTTGGAAGGGGTGTTTTCAATATATATGTTTAGCTATGTATTACATATTCAGATTATTTTAGCCAAATTTGCCTCACCTATACATCACATAGGTTTATGTTGAGGTTAAAGTATGATGAATGACCTTAATAAATGTAATACGTTTCAAAATATCTTTCCTTTCAACTATTATTGGTGTTTGTTTCAACATTTAAATCCGTTTATTCTAGGGAAATCTTGTTGAAAAAGCCTTTGACATAACAAGGGTAGCGAGTGGAGTCCTTAGAAGAGCAGTTCAAAGAGAATATCTGGCTCAGGTATCCGAAAAATACATGGAAATCCACTTTTTTTTAGGCTGCGAAGGGGACTTACTTTGTTCCTGACTATCGTATATGGACTCTCTATTTCGGCCATCAGTGCTACCCCAGGTTCAATAAATAGTAACTTCCTTGTTGTCCTTTTTTCCACTTTTTGGTTGATTTTCTTGCATTATATAAGATATTGAGTCAATTACTGAGCTTGATACAAAATTCAAGCTTACTATAGACCCTCCAAGTGGACCAAGTCAAACCATTGAGAAGAATAGATCAGGCCTAATTGTGGGGATTGTTGTTGTTGTTGTTGGGGTTGTATTTATGTTACTTACAATTTTCTTCGTTGTCCGAAGAAGAAAATGGCCACAGACTATTGATGACGATAAATCAAAAGACTTTCGCTCACTAACGACTTATGTATCATGTATACTAGCTGTGAAAATACCGTTGTTAGTCTACATCCTAATTAGTCTTTTATTTAGGTTAGCATCCCAGCAATACGCTGACTTAAAACTTTTTAAATGTTTGAATAAGAAGGTGAGTTACACAACTTATCAAGTAAACTCTAGCTCATGCACAAGAAAGCTATTGTACATAAAAAAGAATGATGTATTTTATTAATGCTTGTTCAATTCATAAAGCAGAGTTCCATTAGTAAGTTCTGAAGTGCATTACAAGATAAGAACTTGGATTCTGGGTTAATTAAAAGGAACAAAACTATGCCATCTTTTTGAAATATATGGAACTAAGTTCCTAATGGTAAGCTACGTTTGTTGTTGAATTTTCAGAGCTTGTCGGCATGGATGTTAGACCATACAATTTCAGTTATGTGGAACTAAAGATTGCTACAGAAGACTTCCATTCTGCAAATAAGCTTGGACAAGGAGGAAATGGACCAATTTATAAGGTAAGTCATTGTTCTAGTCAATGCCAAATGAGTGGTGAGCACATTTGGTGCCTTAAGATTAACTGGTTTTTCTAGAACTAAATACAGGTTTTAGCATTAATTTTTGTTCTAGATTAACTTGAAAACACAACTTTTTGGCTTTATGTTAATAAATAGTCGGGTCATCTTTAACTTCTGTTCTCCTTGGTTCATTAAATAAAGACAGGATGTGGTATTTGGTCAATAATAATCATATAAAAAGGATCAATTGTTAACTAATTTTTCTTACCAATTCAAAATGAACATTTTACATAATAGGGAACACTAAGTGATGGAAGAGTAATTGCTGTGAAACAATTATCTATAGCATCCGACCAAGGGAAGAGCCAGTTTGCTGCAGAAATTGCTACCATATCTGCTATGCAGCACCGTAACTTAGTAAAACTTCATGGATGTTGTTATGAGATAGCACAACGTTGTTTATGAATATATGGAAAACAACAGTCTTGATAAAGCATTATTTGGTATGCGAATAGCATATATGTAATATTTAGTTTTTCTTGGGAGCCCTAGCATTATTTGTCATGTCAATAATAGATTAAAATTTTGTGACTTTTGCGAAGCATGAAAAGGAAGTTTGGACCTTGACTGGTCAACGTGTTATGATATTTGTTTTGGAGTAGCAAGAGATCTAGCTTATCTTCGTGAGGAATCAAGGCTTCGAGTAATACATAGAGACGTGAAAGCCAATAATATTTTGCTTGATCATAATCTCATCCCAAAAATATCAGATTTTGGTTTGGCCAGACTTTATGGCGATAAGAAGACTCACATAAGCACTCATGTTGCAAGGACAATGTAAGACTTTTAATTTACACCTGAAATTTATTAAAATATTATTTTTTACGTACATTCATTAGATTACTAAAATAATATTATTATTTTTACATTCATTAGACTATTGAAATATTATTATTTTTTTACATTCATTAGATTACTGAAATGAATTTTGCCTATATTGTATTGATGTATTGGATATATTGCACTGAAGTATGCCATGCGTTGATATCTTATGGAGAAGACTGATGTGTTTGCCTTCGGCATTGTGATTCTAGAGGTTGTTAGTGGGAGGCCAAACTTGGATTCAAGCTTGGAAGAAGAGAAGATGTATCTTCTTGATTGGGTATTGAATGCCATTGCAGTACCATTTTTTCTCCTTTTACTATTTTCTAGTACTTGATATACAAATTTGAAAGACCAAGCGAGGCCAATTATATATATATAATATATATATATATATATATATATATATATATATATATATATATATATATATATATATATATAGGAGAAGTAGAAATAAAGCGAATATATTAATTCCGCTTTTATTTTCTACTCTCCTCCTAATCCAATCACTCATATATCACAACTTCATCTTTTCTACTTAATTCTCAGGCTTGGCACCTATACAAGAACAGTCGCCAACTCGAGTGGTGAATTCAAAATTGCCAGAATTCGACGAGGCAGAAGTAAAAGGCCTGATAGGAGTAGCTTTTGTGTACTCAACATTGCCCTCCTCGAGCCATCAATGTCTTGTGTGATTGCTATGCTTTGTGGAGATATGGAGTGAGTACAGAAAATTCTAAGCCTGGATACTTGACTGAATGGGCATTTGATGATGTGACCATCTTTCTTAGTGATAATAAGAAGTATGTGAAGTACTAGCCAGACATCTCCCCAGCAAGGTTACATACAACAAATAAACTCCAGAAATAAGTGCTACTGAAGCCTTATTCCATGGATTGACTTTTACATTAGATTTGAGATTTATTTCATTAGTTCAAACAACGTTATTCATAATGTTAAAATTTTTAAAAAATATCGGAATGATTTTGAACTACTTCCTGTTCATAAGAACAAGACCGAATCTTCACCAGGAAATGTAATTGATTTTGAATTACTTCTTCATCAACAAGTAGAGGGGCTAAAGCTTCACAGAAATTGAATAAGGACTTCTCCATGACATTACTGGAAAGGGTAGATAACAAATTATATTTTTTGCTTGACTGAAGTGTGAGTTATTGAAGCTTCTTTTATGTATATTCCTAGATTTGAAAGGAAAGGTGCCCAACTGTTCTATAAGCTTAGCCCATTACCGAGCTTTAGCTAGTAGTCAGGGACGCAATTGGGTTGTTGCAATCCACCATGTTTCTGCAATTGACAGCCACGATAGTCCATTCACTCAATCAGATTTTGTCTTTTCAAATAATCAGGAGTATTAATTAAACATCCCTTAGATTCAATTCACTTTTAAAAATTAAAACAATCAAGATCACCTCCTAAATCAAATTTAAAAGTTCAAATTTCAGGGTGTTACATTTTCTACTTGCTAATAAAAATTTCAACGTCAACTCGATTAAAGCTGGGTGAACATCTTAGAGTCTTATGTATATGATAATAAAAGTTAAAGAATATCTACATCCATTGATACAGAACGTGATCTCGTATATAAAGAAAATATTCTAACATGCTAACTGTTAGGGCCAAAAATCGTCCTTAGCCCAAATAGGAAAACGGGCCCGACACTGAAGAAGAAGCCGGCCCAATCCCGATATACCCAACCGGATTAGGCCCTTTCGGTACAAGAATAGCCCCCAAACCACGTGGGCACGAGCCTCCTAATCACAGTCCATTTCCTAGGTCCATGGGCGAATCCAGAGCCCACAACCCCCTCAAAATACTTTCCTACTCCTATCATCTCTCATCAAGGTCACCTTCCTATTCCTGATCACTTTCCTACTCGGAGTTACTCTCCTAATCAGAATCACCTTCTTATCCGACACTGGTAACAGCTTACACAGCCCCTAATTCTCTAGGGTTTGCATCAGAGTCACATTAGGACTCCTACTTCTACCAGGATTGGAAGACCAGATAGTCACTATATAAGCAGAGGCCAGCCCTCTCACAAGGGGAGAACATTACACCTTCACACTGAAAGCTCTGACTTGAGAGCTTCACATCACCGCCGTAGTCACAGCCCCCGACTGACTTCCGTAACCTCTACTCCTAGCCCTCACTATATTAGCCTCTCAGCCTTGCTGACTTGAGCGTCGGGTGCCTACGGCAAACACCACCCTGGTGTTTCCCGTTCGCTTCACGCGTGTGTTTCTCTGTGTGTGGTACAGCGGATCGCAGTGGCCTCAACCTCACGGGATCAGACCCCCCTTCCGTACAGGTAGATTTTTACATCTACAGTTTGGCGCCCACCGTGGGGCCTCTAGCAATCATTTGCTCGACGAACCTTGCTACGTGAAGGAACATTCCTGGCTGACAATCCCGACAACGTTCCCCCCGGCCTCGAGGCCAAACTAGGCTTTGACCGCTCTTACAACAAACTTAGACAGGAGTGGCCGCACTGAAGGCCGAGAACAATGCAATCCGGACCGAAAACGCGTCCATTAGGGCTGAAAACCAATCACTAAAAGAGAAGGTGAGTCAATTCTATGATCTCAAGTTCTTGCCCAACGAAGTACCCCCCAATCGGTTCCGCGCCCCTATCCCATCCATGCAACCTCTCTTCACACCAAGCATCGGCCCTCGGTCTCCGTTAAGGGCCGCATCCATTAAGCACACTGGCGCTCGACGACTCCATCTTGACTATGGAGACAAGGATATCCAACAACACCCATCAGCCGATCCATCCCAGCCTCGTGATCAAGCGATCCAGTAACAGAAAGCCCGCATCCACAAACCAGCCCATCCTTACCATCCCGCCTCACCTCCAGTCAACCACCACAACACAAACCCCCTTCGCTTGATTCACTCTCGCAGGTTGAACGGCCAAACCAACCAAACCAACTCCAGCACTCAGCTCATCCATCCTGACGGCCGAGCGACTACCAGATGACTCCCCTGACCATTCTGTAGGCGAATAATAGAACATTGACAATGGTCATCCAACCGGAAGGAATGACGAAGATCCATGCTACCAAGGAATCACGACGGAATGATCCATCAGACTGCCCCTCGAGGGGTGACCCAACGGAATGTGCCAAGGACGATGCAATAGCAGACTTAGTAAGACGAGATGACCTGGTAGTATCCCTTCTCCTATGGATAGTACTGCTAAGAGGTTGGCCAACGTCAGCAGTGATGAGACGCATTCCAGGAATGCCGGTCCCAACAAGAAGAGCACCCATTGTTACCTAATTCACCATTGTGGATGAGATCCCCGAGCCGACATGCCCCATAAATTCACCCCCCAACATGAAACCGTACGATGGTACCGCGACCCGGATGACCACATAGCCTCGTACAAGCAGTGGATGTTCACAGTCTCAATACCCCGACCGCTTAGGGAAGCCTGCATGTGCAAGAGTTTCGGTTCTAGTTATCCGGCCCGGCACTCCAATGGTACACGAACCTCCCAAACGGATCCATCGACTCATTTGCCCAGCTTATCGACAACTTTGTGGAACAGTTCGCCAGCAGCAAGAAACTAGAGAAACTATCGTCGACCATACCGAATATACTAGAGAAGGGGAGAGCCACTGAGAGAATTGTTGGCAGATTCACAAGAAAAGATCTCATCCCGTCATGTCCCTGAGACAGCTATGGACGCTTTCAGGAAAGGCCTCCTCCCGGACAGAGAACTGTACAAAGATTGACGAAGTTAGGTTATACCCTAGAAACGAGCCTTGGCCAGAGCAACGATTCAAATAAGGTGGGAGGAAGATGAGATGATCAGCGGCAATTCACACTAGGTATGACTGAATGCGGAATGACAGAAGGCCAGAGCTCAGATTGATTGTAGGCCCTACAAGGTCACCAAAGAGCAGGGAAGGGTGCCTACTGCTCCAAACTCCAAACCCCCAAGGGCAAAGACATCACAATAGTTGGAATGCCTTTCACCTCAAACGCTACTACTTCTAGGTGAACTAGTTTTTTTCCTTTTCTTTTTTTCATTTTAAAGGATGAGTGGGCCTATCCACCTCCTCTAGACAGCCGCCTCTGGCCAATATTAATAAAGTATTATCAGAAGTTTCCGTCTCCAAATCGACCCTGGTCGAGAATTACTTACACCTTCAAATCGGCCTGCCCGATAAACATACTGACACCTTCAACGGCCCTGCCCGATAAATGTCTTACACCTTCAAATCTACACTGCTCGATTCAATGCACCCTTCAATCGGCCCTGCCTGATAACGTACGTACGCCTTCGAATCGACCCTGCTCGATTTACGATGACACCTCAAATCGGCCCTGCCTGATGAACATATGAACACCTTCAAATCGCCCTGCCCGATACCGTACACCTTCGAATCGACCCTGCTCGATTCACGATGACACCTTCAAATCGGCCTTGCTCGATACGTACGGACACCTTCAATCGGCCCTGCCCGATAAACGTATGTATACCTCGAATCGACCCTGCTCGATTCACGATGACACCTTCAAATCGGCCTTGCCCGATAAACGTACGGACCTTCAAATCAGCCCTGCCCGATAAACGTACTGACACCTTCGAATCGACCCTACTCGATTCACGATGACACCTTCAGATCGCCCTCCCGATCCTCGTACTGACATTCTCAAGATCTGCCTTGCCCGATTCAGGAGTTTGAACCTTCGGATCGATCTGGCTCGATCTACGATTTCATCTTCGGATCGACCCTGCCAATCCACGTAATACACCTACGGATCGGCCCCCCGATCCACGGATTTATACCTTCGGATCGACTCTGCTCGATCCACAAATTTACACCTTTGGATTGACCTTGCTTAATCCACGGATCTACACCTTCGGATCGGCCTTGCCCGATCCACAATTACACCTTCAGATCGACCATGCCCAATCCCAGATTTACACCTTCAGACGGCCCTACTCGATCCACGATTTACACATTCGGATCGACCTTGCTCGATCCAGGGATTACTCTTCGGATTGACCCTGCTCAATCCACGGATCTATACCTTCAGATCGGCCCTGCCTGATCCACGGATTTACCTTCGATCGACCCTCGCGATCCACAGATTACACCTTCGGACCGCCCTGCTCGATCCCAAATTTACATCTCAGTTCGACCCTACTCGATCAAATGTTTATTACATCTCGGATCGACCCTGCTCGATCCAAAGATTTACACCTTCAGATTGACCTTGCTTGATCCACGAATTTACACCTGCGGATCGACCCTGCTCGTCCACAAATTTACACCTTCGGATCGACCCTACTCACCAAAGATTTACATCTTCAGATCGACCCTGCTCGATCCACGATTTGCATCTTCGGATCGACCCTGCTCGATCCATGTAATTACATCTTCGAATCGACCCTGCCCGATCCAAGGAATTTACACCTTTGGATCGACTCTGCTCGATCCACAGATTTACACTTTTGGATTGACCCTGCTTAACCCACGGATCTACACCTTCGGATCGGCCTTGCCCGATCCACGATTTACACCTTCGGATCGACCCTGCTCAATCCACAGATTTACACCTTCGGATTGACCTTGCTCAATCTACGAATTTACACCTTCGGATCGACCTTGCTCGATCCACGGATTTACACCTTCGAATTGACCTTGCTCATCCACGGATCTCCACTCTACTCGACCGACCGACCGACTCAACTCCACAATCCTTATTCCCCAAGAACCAAGTATTGGATCTCCACTCCGCTCCCCCCGACCGACCGACCGATCGACTCTCCACTCTACCGCTACCGACCGACCGACTCAACTCTACCATCCCTAGGAACCAAGTATTGGACCTCCACTCTACCCGACCGACCGACCGACTCTCCCACTCTACCCGACCGACCGACCAACCCACCATATTCCCCCAGACCCAAAGTATTGGATCTCCACTCCACCCGACCGACCGACTGACTCAACTCCACCATCCTCCTTAAGAACTAAGTATTGGACCTCCACTCTACCCGACCGACCGACTCAACTCCACCATCCTTATTCCCCAACCAAGTATTGGATCTCCACTCCACCCGACCGACCGACCGACTCAACTCCACCATCCTCCCTAGGAACCAAGTATTGGACCTCTACTCTACCCGACCGACCGACCGACCGACTCTCCACTCTACCCGACCGACCGACTCAACTCCATCCTAGGAACCAAGTATTGGACCTCCACTCTACCTGACCGACCGACTCTTCACTCTACCCGACCGACCGACCGACTCAACTTCATCCTCACTCCCTAGGAACCGAGTATTGGATCACCACTCCACCCCACCGACCGACTCAACTCCACCATCCTCACTCCCCAGGAACCAAGTATTGGATCACCACTCTCCCTATGCCACCGATCGACCGACCGATCCGGTCTTTTCAAACTTTGATTATCACCACTCACCCCGCCCCATGCCATCGATCAACACACAAACTTAAACCTATCTAAAAGATTCAATCGCCCTTCCTACCCAACCGAGCCAGCAAATTGCAACAGGCCGGCTCCCGTAACCAAACTGACACTCCCATGCATCACGTCCAGGAGATTCTCCAAATTTGGGTGATTGGCTAGGAGCAGTCTAGCACTTGTTCACCCTCGAGGTGATCAAGCCAAGGGGCCTTGCCCATTTGGTCTTCCATAGCGGACGAGTGGGCAGCCATGGGTCAAATGTTTGCGTATTTTGTTTGGCCCTTTGGCATCCAGTAAAGAGCGTCATGGAATCACAAGCACAAGTCTTATAGTCCAACAAGCCGGTCGAGCCGATTCCATCCCACTCGATCACCAGAGTACCCCGATCGAGCAAGCATCCAGTTTAACGCTCATGTTCATTCGACCCAGCCCGCCGAGCAGACACCGCGGCAATAGAAACACCTCACCTCTCCAGTCGGCAGGACGTACCTAACGAGCTTATGAGCCCTCAAAGCCTCATTGTCCATCCCATCGGCCCTTCATACCGATTGGGCACACCACTCCAATGATGGCATACTCCGGATTAGCAATGGATACCGAACGACCCCGGGACAAGGATCACCTGCAGGATCAGCTACACCAACAACCGGTCATCCCGGAAGGATGACCGAGCGCCCATCGATTGCTTCCTACTCTCTGACTTAAGAAACTCTTAACTCAGAGAGTGGGGGGCAAACTGTTAGGGCCAAAAATCGTCCTTAGCCCAAATAGGAAAACAGGCCCGACACTGAAGAAGAAGCCAGGCCCAATCCCGATATGACCCAACCGGATTAGGCCCTTTCGGTACAAGAAATAGCCAGCCCAAACCACGTGGGCACGAGCCTCCTAATCCCAGTCCATTTCCTAAAGTCCATGGGCGAATCCAGAGCCCACAACCCCCTCAAAATACTTTCCTACTCCTAATCAATCTCCCATTCAAGGTCACCTTCTTATTCCTGATCACTTTCCTACTCGGAGTTACTCTCCTAATCAGAATCACCTTCTTATCCGGACACTGGTAAGACAGCTTACCACGCCCTTAATTCTTCTAGGGTTTGCATCAGAGTCACATTAGGACTCCTACTTCTACCAGGATTGGGAGACCAGACAGTCACTATATAAGCAGAGGCCAGCCCTCTCACAAGGGGAGAACATTACACCTTCACACTGAAAGCTCTGACTTGAGAGCTTCACATCACCGTCGTAGTCACAGCCCCCGACTAGACTTCCGGTAACCTCTACTCCCTAGCCCTCACTATATTAGCCTCTCTCAGCCTTGCTGACTTGAGCGTCGGAGTGCCTACGGCAAACACCACCCCGGTGTTTCCCGTTCGCTTCACGCGTGTGTTTCTCTATGTGTGTAGGTACAGCGGATCGCTAGTGGCCTCAACCTCACGGGATCAGACCCCCCTTCCGTACAGGTAGATTTTTACATCTACACTAACTATGAAAGAAATTATCCAAATATAATAGTCATATATTATTAGGAAATAAAGACATTATACCTAGCCCCATATCACAAAAGTCTCCAGTATCTGCTTAGTGAAAGTAAACACAGGTCCTTGGTGGTCATTGACTGGCCTATTATCAACTTGTTCATCTATGACAGGTGATTAGTTTTTCCACAGCCAAAACACTCGTCTTTAGATAACATTCTTTATAATGCCTTTCCTACAACATTGACAGATGTTTCTTTGAAAAGAGTCCACAGTTGAGCCCTTTTGAACCATTATTTTATTTATGAGGTAAGTTCTCTTGTTTATTTGAACTTCTATTCCAAGACCCACTTTGTGTATCTTGTTTGTTCGTAAAATCTCTTGTATTTTGAGACTCAACCATAATTAGATTAACCATATATCTACATTCCCTGCCAACTTAACAATATATAACTTAAACTTAGTAGCATGACATAACGCCTAAAACTTGACATTTAGCATCCTCGACGTCAATTAAAATGAGGGACAAAATGAGACAAAACAGTCACTTTTTTTCATCACCTTGTGTTAGACTAACAAAACTTTTATTCGTTTTGTTAGAAGTTCTTTTTGTCCCGGCGTCACCAATCTAGTAGACTATTATAATGTATAAATGTGGTTGGACTTCCTTTTTCCTTGAGTTAGCTTTTGAGAATGAGTTCTACCCAAACCACATTTATCATGGTATCATTTTATGATATTATTTTTGAATCATTTTAATACAAAAGTTGAAACTTTCTTTTTGTCTTTGAATTTTCAACTTCTTTAAGATGAAGGCTTGATCATATATTTTCAAATTTGTTTTCTAAAGTCTAAAAGAGATTAAACAACCCTTGAGTTTTATGTACTTACCCAATTTCCTTATTGGGAAAACATTAGTTAACCCCCTGGGAGTTTGGAAAGTAAAACAGATGCATACTATTGTTTTTTAGATTAAATTAACCCAAGATAATTTAGAAATAGACAACTACCACCCAAACCACCGATGCTGTCCAAAGCCTGTTAAGAAAAGAATGGTAAATAAAATTTTACAGAATCCTTCAAGTTACAAATAACATATGAAATAAATATTCTATTTACAAAACCCCAAAAATAAAGCAAAAATTAACCAAACTTACATATTTATATGTTAATTTATGTGTAGATATAACATTGACATTTAAAGTAGAATTAGATTTTATATTAATTCCCTCGCTTGTTGGAAACTAACGAGTAATTTTATAGCTATAATCTCTTTTCACAAATTTTCTCTCACAACCCTAATGTATCAATTCGTAATTAATCAGTCACATTTTTATTATGTGGGCTTATTATGATCTGATCAATTGTAATTTGTCACGTCGGGATTGTGAGATAAAGTTTGAAAGAAGAGGTTGTAAAGGAAGTATTTTTTGCCAACTAATTAATGCAGATTAATCATAAACTGATGCTGAAGAAAATTATTAAGTTGAATTGTCAAGATAATGCTGATGAAAAAATCAGCCACTGCAAATTCACTAACTGGTTGGTTGTATGTAAATTTCTTGGACTTTTTTGTACTTCATGTAGCTCAAAGTCACGATCAAGCTGAAACTACTAAAGCCCCTCATGAAGGTCTGCGTCCAATTAAGTTCTATCTTCTTCTTTTTTTCTTGATCGTTTAAACTCTGAAAGAAAGCTCAAGCTAAGGAAACGGAGGGTGGTTTGCATGTTTCTTTGTTTGTTGTACACAAAAGGAGATTTATTTAATTTCATGGCTGCTTACTTTTACAATTTCTTAAATTACAGGAAAATCGTTGATCTGCAAGTTAATAGTATGATCCCAGATGAACTTTGGAGTTTGAATTTCCTCACCCATCTGTATGGTTTTGTCAATTTCATATATGTTTATTTCAATTGTGTATAATTTCAGACCATTAGATGAGAATGAGTGGTTATTAAAATATTTTACTTAATTTTATTCAAATATGTTAAATCACTCGAAGTGTATCAAGTCATAAAATGATTTGAACTTTGTGTTCTTAAATATTAATCTTGCCTGTTTCTTCTGTTTCTTTCAGGGACTTGGCAACAAATCTCTTGTCAGGTCCACTGTCTCCATCTGTCAGCAATCTAACTGCAATAAAACACCTGTAAGCTGACAAAAAAGTATTGATTTTGAAACTCACACTGTATTCCCTTTTTCTGCTGATGCTAATTAGTTCTCATTTTGATCAGGAACTTTCGTCGTAATACATTATCTGGGCAGATTCCAAAAGAGTTTGGCATGCAACCTGAGTTAGTATTCCTGTAAGCTCAATCTCTGTCCCCCTCTTAACTATATAACTTCGGATGATTTATCTGAATGAAATATTTTTTGTAATTGCATTACAATTTTATAACTGAAAAACTAAATTCTTGGGGATGTAGAGCAATTGGAACAAACAACTTCTCGGGTTATATGCCACTGAGCTTGGTAATTTGTCAAATTTAGAGCAACTATATATGGGAACATTGAGACTCTCTGGTCCTCTGCCCTTTAAGCTTGGTAATTTGACGAAATTAAAGGAATTGTAAGTTGTTTTAGATGTTTCAGTTTCATTTTCAATGCAAAATTTTGTTTATATTGAGTATATATCCTAGTCTATAATGTTCTGTACAATGATGCAAAAGGTGAAACCCCAGCTGGCTTTAGTCTTCACATTTATTGGAGATTATACTATCATGTGTCCCATAATTCGTTTACTTGGTGATGGCTTTTGTTGGAGACAAGTTACTAGATTGTGATGGAATTTATGGATATTATTTGCCTTGGCAGATTGATTGACAGTTCTGGAGTGAGTGGTGACGTTCCTTCAACTTTTGCCAATCTAAAGAACCTGGAAACACTGTAAGAACTTCTTTATTGTGTTAATCTTCTAATTGGAATTTTTCTAATATAGATATGCATTCTGCTGATGAAAAATGGCTGAGGTCGGATCGTAAACAAATTCTTCTTTTGGGCACAAGTTGGCTGTGACATTAAACTTACAAGAGGGATCCTTGATTTCACAGGAAATTGGTCACATCTTAAAACCTTGTGAGAAAACTATTCCAATTTTTTTTTGTTTATTTTGTTCTCATTCACCCTTAAGTTATTTTTGCTTCAAGCTTCTTCACAATGATATATGTTTCAAACACTATAATTATAATGTGTGAGACTGATAATATGTATTTGGGTACTTTAATTGTTCCTACTTTGAATGCTATGCCAGTACAGTTAACAATTTTCTTTTTCTATATGTTAATGTAGGAGGTTTCAAGGAAACTCTTTTGGAGGGCCGATACCGTCATCCTTTTCCAATCTGACTAATCTAATTGAGTTGTGAGTGTTCACCTGCAACATTTCTCATTGATCACATCTGAATTTTGCGATGATCAGTGCTAACAATCTCATGAACAATGAAAATGTAGGAGAATAAGCGATTTATTGAATGGGAGATCGTCGTTGGCATTTATAAGGAATATAAAATCTTTAACTATCTTGTAAGGCAACATTGTCAAAGTTCTATTATCTTGTGTTCAATAACCTGATATATATACTTCTTCTTCTTCTTCTTTTGATCTAGATTGTTGGTTTCATATACTGCAAGAACTAGGGAATAACAAAATTTCCGATTCAATTCCATATGACATTGGGAACTACCAGAGTTTGGTGCATCTGTAATTTATTCATTTCCTTTTCTCGCTCTTTTTGTTTTTTTCTTCCCTTCATTACCTTTTGGTTATTAGCAACTAGCAAGTTTCTTCATCTTATGATTGCGTAATTCTAATATTTTTTCTTTTTCAGGGATCTGAGTTTCAACAATTTAAGTGAACAGATTCCCAGCTCGCTTTTCTATTTGGGTTCTCTAGCTTCCCTGTAATCTGCCATCTCTGCTTTGTTGTGTCATTTACTTCCCAGAATGTTCTCACTATATTGAAACATGTATTGCTGCTCTTGTACTCAGGTTTCTCGGAAATAATAAGTCAACTGGCACACTGCCTGTCAATAAAAGTGAGAATCTTCTCTACATTAAGAACTTTTGACATATTTGCAATAATCTCATTACTAATTAATTTATCAATTGAAAAGATAATTTTGACAGTAGCTGTTCAAATTTTTTAGGAGCAAGCCATCAAAAAGCTAAACTTGCATTCAAGTTCCTCTATTAAGTAGTTTCCCAATATGAAATCAAAGATGTGAAACATGTTCTACCATCAATCACCTGTTTACTGATTTCTTCCACCTTATGTTTTATAGATTGGATTTTTATGTTTCATTTCAGATGCATAGTTTAACATCCAGAATGGGGCTGACTAGTAGCTCTACTGTGTCGCTAAAAATTTGCTGACCCTGTTCTTGCAGAGATGTGTCATACAATAATTTATTAGGTAGCATTCCTTTTTGGATAATCCAACAAAATTTACAACTGTAAGTCTTGAAACTCTTTGAAATTTGTTATGCAAAGCAAAGTATTCTGCTACCTCCACTGTATCATTACATTCAGAACTTACATTTCTAACAAAGAATTGTATTCTACATATAAGGATGAAACTAACAATGAGATTTTTATGGGTGCAATGTGCATAAATTTAGTGGCCAATAACTTCACTCTTGAAAGTAATAACAGGTGATCATCTCATTTCTATATTTCATTCAAATGCTTGAAACTCTCTATATAACAATTTTGAGAAAGAATAGTTGGAGGTAAATACTCAGAAAGTCCTCGGGTTATACCTATAGTAAAATTCAAGACACATTGATTTTTCAGTTTCAAATAAATCCCTGAGAGTAACAGAAGCTAGAAAAGTCTGTTGGATGAAATATAATATTTTATAAAAAGACTGCAGTGCCTCTCAACATCTGATTTTAACATCGAGGAAGCACCCTTGACTATTTATGCAGCTGCATCTTCACGGGATCTTCTGTTTTCTCCTAATCTTCTGTTCTGTAGACTAAAACCATAAGGACTAAAATTTATTTTACTCAGAATAGTTGCCTACTTAAGTTGTTGATTGTACATTGTAGATTGTTCAATCAATTTTTTAGAAATAAGTTTTATGCATGCAAGAGTCACCGTACTCTGAAGATAAAGGTTGATAAGATCGGGTTAACTCATAAGAACTGATAAACCAGTTGAATGGGTGCTTTAGTGTCTAGTTTTTGTTCTGCCATCATTAATTGAGTTCCTCATATAAGTGTATTCCCCTTTTTTCCCTCAGTGTTTTGCCGCATGGTCTAAACTGTCTCCAATGCAGTTTTCCTTGCAATCGAGGTTCTCCAATCTGTAAGTACAACTCCATCATGTGGTTTTGAGAGTTAAATGCAGCAACAGTAACTAAAGACTTGATCTAGGAGAAGTACCATTGATATTAGAAATGAAACTTTTTGACATATTCTTACTTGTGCAGTGTAGACTGGGAACCTTAACTGGACTTACCTTGATAAGTGGCTATTATTGGTATGCAGATTCTAGTTTCGCAGTTAATTGTGGTGGTCCGCAATTTACATCTTCTGATAAAATTGTGTATGAGATGGAAGACGAGACTCTTGGTCCAGCTAGATACTATGTGACTGGCACAAACAGATGGGGAGTTAGTAATGTTGGATATTCTATCAGGGCAAATGTTCCGCTGCGGTTTACAATTTCCTCAGAGTCTCAATTCACAAATACTGTAGACTCAAAACTTTTCCAGACAGCACGGGTTTCTGCTTCATCTCTAAGATATTATGGTTTAGGCCTTGACAATGGAAACTACATGGTGACTCTCCAGTTTGCAGAAATACCTAATCTAGATACAACGGGGTGGCAAAGTTTTGGGAGGCGTGTTTTTGATATATATGTTCAGGTATGTATTACATCTTCAGATTATTTAGCTGAAACAGCCTCAATTTACATCACAGGTTTATGCTGAGGTAAAAGCATGATGAATGACCTTAATGTATCCTGTTTCTGAATGCATTTCTCCTTTCAACTGTTATTGGTTTTCATTTCAATTTTTGAATCTGTTTATTCCAGGGAAATCACGTTGAAAAGGACTTTGACATAACAAGGGTCGCTGGTGGAGTCCCTAGAAGAGCAGTTAAGAGAGAATATACGGCTTGGGTATCTGAAAACTACTTGGAAATCCACTTGTTTTTGGCTGGGAAAGGGACTTGCTGTCTTCCTTACGTGGGTACATATGGACCTTCAATTTCTACCATCAGTGCTACCCCAGCTTAGAGAAATAGAAACTTTCCTTTTTTTTGCCTTTTTCCTCTTTCGTTTGATTTCCTTACATTATATAAGATAGTGAGTTAACTACTGAGCTTTGATACAGATTTCCAACCTACTGTAAGACCTCCAAGTCAGAAGAATACAACAGGACTAATTGTGGGAATTATTGTTGGTGTTGGGGTTGTATTTTTGTTACTTCTTGCAGTTTTCTTCATTGTCCGCAGAAGAAGGCCACAGGCTGATGATGATGGTAAATGAAATGATCTTCGCCTTTCACTGACATCTTATCTATCATATTTGCCAGCCATAAAATTGTTGTTGTTAGTCTACTATTTAGGTTCACATATGTGCCATACGTTGACTCAAATTTTAAAGTTCCTAGCGTTCTTATACATGAAGGATTTCACTAATTAATGCTCATTCAATTTATAAAGGACACGTCCATTAGTTTCTTTGATTTCGGCAACAATTCTCATAATTTTGATTTCACTAGCATTCTTAAAAGAACAGATTTGGTTAACTAACTTTTGCTTGATGGTAATAGTTTTGCCAAACTGCTTTCTGGTCCTTTCAGGTTAGACAAACATGTTACTGTGCCATGATTAGAAAATTGCATATGTTATTTCCACCATTTTTCATCTTTAGCTTGATAAAATATTCCCTAAAGCATTTGATTAGACAAACAAGTTTGTGATAGTAAGCTATGTTATACTGTTAAATTTTCAGAACTTCTAGGGATGGGTGTTAGACCATACACTTTCAGTTACGATGAACTAAGCACTGCCACAGAAGGCTTCAATCCTGCAAATAAGCTTGGAGAAGGAGGATTTGGACAAGTTTATCAGGTAAAGTGATTGTTCTAATCAATGCGAAACAAGTGCCGAGTTTGTTGATCAAGTGTTTACTGATTTTCCTTAACAATTAAACTTTTTACACGATAGGGAACACTCAGTGATGGAAGGGTAATTGCTGTGAAGAAATTATATGTAGCATCCCACCAAGGGAAGATCCAGTTTGTTTTAGTAATTGCTACTATATCTGTTTTGCAGCACCGAAACCTAGTAAAACTTCATGGATGTTGTTATGAGGGAGCACAACGAATCCTTGTTTATGAATAACTGGAAAACAACAGTCTTGATCAAGCACTATTTGTTATGCAGATAGCATTTATGTAGTACTAAGTTTTTCTTGGGAGTCCTAGCATTATTTGGATTGGAAATCACAATTTCAAACTTTTATATGACTTTGGTGAGCAGGAAAAGGAAGTTTGGATCTTGACTGGTCAACGCGTTATGATATATGTTTAGGAGTAGCAAGAGGTTTAGCTTATCTTCATGAGGAATCGCGGCTTCGAATCATACACAGAGATGTGAAGGCCAGTAACATTCTGCTTGATGGTAATCTTATCAACAAAATATCAGATTTTGGTTTGGCCAAACTTTATGATGATAACAGAACCCACATAAGCACTCGTGTCGTAGGAACAATGTAAGACTTTCTTGAAGATAAAATTTTAATTCTCTAGAAATTTATTAAGATCTTATGTTTTTTCTTTCATTGGATGACTGAAATGAATTTGCCTCTTTTCTACTGACATAGTGGATATGTTGCACCTGAGTATACCATGCGTGGATATCTTACTAAGAAGACTGATGTATTTTCCTTCAGAGTTGTGGCTCTAAAGGTTGTTAGTGGGCGACTAGACTCGGATTCAAGCTTGGACGAAGAGAAGATGTATCTTCTTGACTGGGTATGAATGATGTTTCAATACATTTTTCCCCTTCTAGATTTGGTTCAAGGCCAAATTTGATTTGCATGTCAATACATTTTTCTCTTTTCTTTTGTACTTCTCCACTTGATTCAATTACTCATATCATACTTCCTATCTTTCCTGCTTCTCAAAGCTTGGCACCTATACAAACACAACCGCCAACTCGAAGTTGTGGACTCAAAATTGTCAAAATTCAGTGAGGAAGAAGTACAGTGCCTGATAGGAGTAGCACTTTTGTGTATACAAACAGTGCCCTCTTCGAGGCCATCGATGTCCCGTGTGATTGCTATGCTCTATAGAGATATTGAAGTGGGTAAAATGAATTTGAAGCCGGGATACTTTACTGAATGGACATTTGATAATATGACCACCCCTATTAGTGATGATGCAGCTGAAGATTGTGATGATACTAACCATGACAACTCCTCAGCAAGCTTACGTACAATGGACAAAACTCCACAAAGAAGTGGTACTAAAGCGGCGTCCCATTGATTGGGTTTCAGTTTAAACTCCAGTTCCATTTCGGATTGCGCAAGTGTTATTCATAATGAAAATGCCTGGAAATTTGATCATGTAACCACATTTGTTATGAAAATGCCACTAAAGTAGGTAATTCTATTAGCCATTACCCTTCTTCTTCTTCATCAAGTACAGGAGCTACAGCTTGACCAACATTTTTAATCAAAAAAATTAACAAACAGTATCCAACGCCCTGTATATAATATCTTTCATTCATCCTCAATTACAGGGGTATTGCTTTTTATATAGGTTCTTGGACCTTGGAACTTGTCACATCCTATTCCTACCTTCCTAGTGAGTGAGATTGGGGTTTAATTTATGTTGGATACAAATTAACAAGGCCCAAAGGCCCAAAAGATTGACCAAGCCCAACAAACAAGACCCACGAGTCAAACAACTGAAACTCTTCCTAAGTCTCATTTTAAGTAAAATTTTATTCCAAATACACCCTTTTCTTCTTTCTCTCTCACTCTTCTCGTCTATAATGAGATTCAAAATATTATTTATGGGTTATTATTGTAAGGAAAACATTGTCTCAAATCAAAACAAAAACTTGTTAATGGACGAAGAAACATTGCAATATTGACTTTAGCTATCTGGGTGGATTATTCAGAGGTTTTCTGTTTGAGACCACATTTTTTATTTACCTGGTCTATTAGATTTGTAGAGTTTTCAATGACCCTAGATTAGCTGAGGGCTGGCTCAGACACCGCAGTTATTTAAAAAAAAAAAAAGAGAGAGAGAGAGAGAGAGAAGATAATGTTAATTTTGGAATATAATTGTGTTTATAATTTATTTAATAAATTTTATTTGTTTTGGGGCTTAAAAAGAGTTTTGACAAGGTTCAGATAACAACATTCTATTTCAGCTAGTTATGCTACTGGCTCCCATATTTTCTGTCGTTAGATCCCAATTATCATTAAATTATTAATTAAAATTTTTTCTGTATATAAAAAGTTATTTCCTCCTTCAATCACAAACCCTAATTCAATAAACCTTAATTATATTTTAAACAATGAAGACATAATTTATGCTATTAAAAGTGTTTGATCAAAATCACGTAAATATGATGGGGATGAAATTTATGCTTTGCAATCTTAAATGGCTTTGTTAATTTTTCTTTGCTTTTTTCTTCTTCTACACTTCTCCAAAATTTATAAGTTAGTTTGATGCATTCAAATTTCTTAATCATTGTTCTTACAATCTTTGAAATAAAAACACATTTGAATAGAATTCATTGCTAAGCATTACATTCAAAACAAGAAGCAAAATTACAAATAAAAAAAAAAGTATTTTTTGAAGTAGACGGGGTTTATAAAGACATTTGCAAATGCAAAAATATTTTAATGTGATAAACTTAGTAACGGGGTGCAAAAATATGTCAATATGATAAATTTAGTAACGGGGTCTTCAAAGATAAAATGTGGGATGCCAATGACACACACACACACACACACACACACACATATATATATATATATATGAGTTAAGATTTTTATAAAGCCTGCGTTTTATAGGTATGAGTCTTATGACTTCAATATTTCTGTGTTTTGTAAGTATGACTTAACTACTCGTGTGCTTATGGCTTCTGTAGAGTATCAATTCTCTTGACAGACTTCACTCGATGATGTCTTTGAACAAAATTTTCTGCGTTTTAACTTCAAGAGGCAAAGAAGAAGGTATTTTTGTCATAAACTTCAATATATTTCAACATGTAATTTTTTTTAATTAAATTTTAATTTACAAGGGACTTAAATAGANAATGATATATGTTTCAAACACTATAATTATAATGTGTGAGACTGAGAATATGTATTTGGGTACTTTAATTGTTCCTACTTTGAATGCTATGCCAGTACAGTTAACAATTTTCTTTTTCTATATGTTAATGTACGAGGTTTCAAGGAAACTCTTTTGGAGGGCCGATACCATCATCCTTTTCCAATCTGACTAATCTAATTGAGTTGTGAGTGTTCACCTGCAACATTTCTTATTGATCACATCTGAATTTTGCGATGATCAGTGCTAACAATCTCATGAACAATGAAAATGTAGGAGAATAAGCGATTTATTGAATGGGAGATCGTCATTGGCATTTATAAGGAATATAAAATCTTTAACTATCTTGTAAGGCAACATTGTCAAAGTTCTATTATCTTGTGTTCTATAACCTGATATATATACTTCTTCTTCTTCTTCTTTTGATCTAGATTGTTGGTTTCATATACTGCAAGAACTAGGGAATAACAAAATTTCCGATTCAATTCCATATGACATTGGGAACTACCAGAGTTTGGTGCATCTGTAATTTATTCATTTCCTTTTCTCTCTCTTTTTGTTTTTTTCTTCCCTTCATTACCTTTTGGTTATTAACAACTAGCAAGTTTCTTCATCTTTTGATTGCGTAATTCTAATATTTTTTNAACACAAAATAAAAGCTCAAAAACCCAAAAAGAACATTTCTTAAGTAACCAAACCAAACCCAATGTAAGGAGATAAAAATTATGTCTAAATCAATGAGAGACAAGGCAAAACAAATAAGTGGTTATAAGTCATTAAAAGGAGACAAAGAAGTAAAAATCAATTGTTTAATTAGATAAAACCCACTTCCCTGAGAAGAAAAAGGGGTAGAGAATAAAGGAGCACTACAGTCAAAATGTAGCAAGTTAAATAGGTACACGCGAAAACAAAGGAAAAGATAAATCCTATATAGAGAACATGAATTACTATTTATTAGTGTATTTTTTTTTGTATAATACATTTCAACTAATCTTTTCGATTCTAAAGTTTAATATTGAATAAGCCTTTAATGACCACCCCTATTAATAAGAAAGATGGATCAAATTTAAAACCTCTTCAATAATGCATCTAAGAATTCTAGTTTATTGGTCGACTATCGCCTAATGGTGATTTGGATTACTAGCTTATTATTTTGTCTCTAATTGAGTCATAATAGCTTTTTTTTTAATTAAAGAGAGTAAATTTGATCAAAGCAGTTTATAAGAAGGCTTTAGTGATTAACTCGTGCGGATTAGGAAAAGAAAAATGAAAAAAAGTTTGTGCAGACATGTGACCGGGGAATTAACAAAAATACAGACAAAGATTTAAGTCCAATGTGCTCCAATTGATGAACACGCGTTTCGGCCCTTCTCTCTCCTAACTGGACCCCTCCTTGTGAGGTCAGGACTCAGGAGCTTCCTTCTCCTTTTACCTGGATTCCGTTTTAGACATCTCTGATTTCTTCTTAAAACTTAACTAGAGACAAGTGAAGTCAACTGGACCAACAGTCTTTACAACCGACTTGGACTTCACTTATTATTAAACTAGATTTGGAGCTATTATTGATTCATGCAATATGTCATCATCATGTTGATGAAATCATCAGCTTCATTTTCTGTGGTACTTTGCTTGTGCGTGAATTGGGTTTTCTTCAACCTTCTTCTACTTCATGTTGCTAAAACTAAAGCTCAGGCTACTACAACATTACCCTATAGCTTGAGAATGCCAAAGTGATGAGACAAGTTAAGAAGGCTGAACTCCATATAAAAAATATGGTGAGTATGAAGGAAATGTTTGTTGTTTCTTCATTTAAAAATAAAATTAAAAAAAAAAAAGCATAGCATCCTGGTCACCAAAATGAATTCAAAGAGAAGAGCTTGCCTTTCAAGTGCAAATAAGAGGAAGTTTTGTTATGTTTCAAGCTCTAGTTTTTTCATACCTTTCTTTCTTAACCCCAACAGACCCTTGCATTACAAACATAATAAAGACCTGACTGATCTTTTGAGAAATCTTGCTTGGAGATAAGGAATGTATGTTTATTTCGTATACTTGGTTCTTTTCATGAAACCCATTTTGTGAACATATGAGCGTTTATTGATTATACCCATATTCGTGTGCGAGAATATATTTTGTAATACCCAAGATATCAAAGACATGTTTCCAACTCAAAATAGTCATTTAGATGTTAATTTTATATTAAAAAGCATAAAATTTTATGTTAGAAAGCATAAAATCTAACTAAGGGTAAAATAGTCAATTCATTTGTAACGATATAAATCAATTATCCATAAAAGGGTATTAGAGACAAAATAGTCATTTTGCCTATGGATAAGCATTGCAAAGGTCAAGGATGAGTAGGCTTTATTGCATTTAATTGCATTAATTAAGTAATAATTATGTTTAGTGTCAAATGACCAAAATACCCTTATATGAAGAATTAAGGACTTGTGAGTTATACAATTAAAATAATTGGGCCAATAGCATAATTTTAGAAAATTAATGAAATATTTTCCTATAAATGAGAGGAAATTCGTTCAACCCAAGAGATATATAATTTCTTCAACCTTTCTTCAATTTTCTCTCAAATTTTCCATGAAACAAGCTTTCTCTCTTTAAGTTTTAAAGGAGTTTTGCATAATTTTCTACGAAGAACAAGATAGAAGTCTTGGATCTTCAAATTAAAGGGTTTAAGGTAAGGATTAAGAACTCTTGTTTTGATGTGCTTTGAAGATTTGAGGTAGATGTTGACGTATAATATTATATATATAGGATTAAGGTGTAAAAGAAGATAAAGACAAATGATTTGGTGGGAGAATTCTTTAAAAAGGTAAGGAAGAACCTCCCATTAGGGGTGTTCAAAAAAATGAAAAAAACGAACCGAACTAATAACCGAACCGAAAAAATGGTTCGGTTAAGGTTCGAAAAATTCAAAAAACCGAATTTTCGGTTCGGGAAAAAATAAAAGCGGTTAACCGAAACCGGTTTTTTGAATCGGTTTTACAAATATATATATTATATATTAAATAATATTATATATTATATATTAAATAAAATAATAATAATATTATATATTATATATTAAATAAAATAATAATAATATTTTTAATGTATTGTTAGTAGTGGTCAATGGATATGTATGAATATTTAATGTTTATTTGGATATGTATTATTTATATTTACAATTTAACTTAGGA